CGTGGCACACTGAGTGCCCAGGTGGGCACCAGCATCAGCTGTGGACGCAGCCAGTAGGTTCCAGATGGAGATGAGGGCATCCATTCCAGTCCACAGCTTGACATTGTGTCAGCGCTGGGCCTAAGCAGTCCCTCCCACCCACCCACCCACCTGATGTGACAGAAACTGCCCCACCCACCTGGCACCATGTCTGTGGACTGGATCCCATGAGTTCATGGCTAATCGCCTGTGGGCTGGATACAGGCAGTTGGTGGGCCAAATTTTGCCCAACCCTGCTCTAAATAAAAGAACAAATATGTATGAAATTAGGGTCCGAGTAATGAAAAATTGCTTCACCCATTTTTGAAATGAGGCTGAGAGTTGCATTCTTGACTCTTAGTAACTGTGGGCTTGTTAATCTGGAGCAGAGTTCTCTAGCTGGTGGTCTACATGTGGCCCATGAAGGGTGAACTCACAATTCCCTGTTTGGGCAGCAGTCCTTGGGCTCCTGTGCTCTCTCTTTCACCATCTGCTTCCTGCTCCTGCTCCTGCTCCTGCTCCTGGGGGTAGGGTAGGACAGCCTATGGGGCCGGGGTACTTGCTGGAAAGCACAGTACAGTAGGGAGGTGCAGTGGGTGCCCATGCTGCTTGCATCCTGACAGGCATGTGACTTGGCAGGAGTGTGTGACCCCTAGCCTCGCAGAAGTTGGACATCCCTGGTCTGAAGTCTCCCTGCCTATCTCTTTGGAGATCGATAACATAAGATAGCATCATGACCTTCAGCCATTCAGGCCGTGTCCAGAGAAGCATGGCTGTGCGGTATGTGGTGCTGCAAACACGTCTGCAGCGCCACATACCATGCATTTAGATGTTCTCTGTGCTGCAAGGGCGCACTGCCCATGCGTGCACTACCCTGCTTTATTTTTCTGGGGGTTTTTTGACCCCTGAATATTCATGTGCCACTCAAAAGTGAAGCCAGGCCACCCAGAGCCGTGCTGCAGCTGCCGGCCAGGCTCCACGCAGCAGAATCGCCCTGGGAAGGACCTCAGGTAGGGCTAATGGTGTCAGTCCAGTGCTGGCCCCAGCCTCTCCTACCCCACCCAGGGTAACTTGCCACATGCCAAAATGTGTGTGGTACAGGCGTTCCCCAGAGACAAGTAGTGGCAGCACAAGGTGTGCTGCTGCTACTTATCCCCAGGGAACCAAACATCTACGCTTGTCTGGACGCGCCCTCAATCTCTGACAGCCACCATAAGGTTAGTAATTTTTCTAGAAAATGGTTCTGGGACCTTGTTGCACGTTACACTTAGGGACATGTTAACTGCGCTTAAAATGTGATCATTCAAGCAGTAAAACACGTGCTAAGTGCCATTGTAGCATGGCAGAGTTAGGACATTTCTGCTGAGCAGTATCCCCAGATCATATTTCCTAACACATTTTGAGCTAATTTCTGACTGCTCCACAGAGGTAATATGATCAGGACACTGTTGCATTGCAGGGGCTGGGAGTAACAAGCAAGGGTCCAAGCTCCCCCCACCTTACCAGAGCTGGTTCAAGACACCTGTTCCAGTGTCTCTAGGAAACTGTTCCAGTATGTGCACCCGTTGGAGGAGTGGTTCTGTCATTTTCCCACACTGAACAGAACTGGCCTCTAATTTGTTGCTTGTAGCTTCTTGCCCACATCAGCATGAAATTCACCCTTGCGCCAGAGTCTTTGCATCTGCTATTTTCTCCTTGAGCCCTGCTGCTGTGCTTTAAGTGGCACTGACGTGGTTTATAGATCTTGTGATGACTCAGGGGTGCATTTCACTCATCAGTTGGCTCATTAGAAAGAGAGGCTGGATTAGCATTTGCCTAAAAGTAAAGAACCTTTTTGCGTGAAACTGCTGTTCACATTAAATAATTGAAAAATAAAAAACTGTGATGTTATACCTCGTTTCTGAAACTGCCGCCCTTTTAATTGTGAATGCTACCCTTCAAAATCTCTGCGTAATATATAAATATCTAACCTGGCAACATTTGGTACCTCATAGCCCCATTTTACTTTGAAAGGTATAAAAAAGTGTTTGTGCAATGGACACCGAAACATTCCTCCAGCAAGCTGTTTTAGGAATAAGAAAGCTGGTTGCTTTATTTACATCCTGCATTGTTTTAATATTAATAAGATTTAGCATATGAAAATAAATCAGTAGAGCTGTGAAATATAATATGGGGTTATTTTGGTATTCAGTTACTGTAAACTGAAGAGTTTTGTGTTTCTTGAGTGTTCATTAAGAATGTCCTTTCTCTTTCTCTCCTAGGTATCCTCATGGGAGCTTTCATAAAAATTATAGAGTCTCAAAAACTGGCCAACTGGAAGGTATATTTGAAGCAATTCAACTTGATTTGTAGTTATGCGCTTTGGCAGTTTTAAATACCTTTTTTTTTTTTTGCAAAACTCATTTCTTTAGGTTTAATTTCCAAAGTTTTGTTTTCTTTTTGCTTTCAGGGTGGAAAATGTTGTCACCTTTATGGCAGCATAACATTTTTTTATGGCATGGCACAGGTTGAGCAAACAGACATCCATGCCCCTTTTCATGCATACGGAGATGTGCTTTAGAGATTTCCTAGGTCCCTGTAGGTGGAGAAATCCAGGGTTCTTTGCTTACAGACATGCCCCAGAGATTGCCCTGTCTTTCCTCTTTTACAGAGACAGATCTGCATAAGTGTTCAGGGTGTGTCTGTAAGCCAGAAACATGTTGTCTGTTGTCCCACAAGATTGGGCCCCTGCCCAATGCAGGACAACAGGTAGCATGTGTTTTGCCCAGTGAAGCAGATTAGTTCCCACCACAGCTAATCTTTGCAAGGCAACCTCTGCTTATAGCCCAAGATAACCAGCACAATGAGCTACTCGTTTTTTTTTTCTTCTTTTTAAGGGTTTTATCTTGCTGGATGCAGAGTGCCTTCTCAAAGGTGTCAAGCCTTTTCTGTTTCTGTTAAATTAACGGCAGTACAGGGTTCTCAGCATCTTGCAAGTTTAGAGCAATTGGAGTAAAAAACACATTAATTCAATCTTGATTTTTTTTTTCATATTAGCTCCTCTCCATACACTGTGCCGTGCGCTTAGCATTAACGCTGTAATGTTGAGGCTTTTCTTGGACAATACTGTTAGTTTCCCACAATCCTAAATGTGATGCTCATGGAAAATAGTGAGTGGGCAGGCATGGTACTAACCTGGAGCACTATAAAGAAGGCCTTAGGAGGACCCTCTTGTGCCCCCCACTACAGCTGGAGCTTCTCTCACCACTAGATTGTCCACTCCCCATTGCCATCTCCGGCAGCACTTGACAGTAATGCCGGTTGGCAGTGACAGCAATTTGTAGTATGCAGCAATAAGAGTAAGCTCCAGCTCTCGGCATCAAGAAACTGGGCAGCAGTAGCTGCACTAGGGGTGTGCAAGAGTGCCCACTAAATTTGTAGCCCAGTAGTCCAGGGTGCAGACTGTACTTAGTTACACCTCTGCACTTGGAGGTTTAGCCTGTTTGATAGAGAAGAGCTGGAGCTTTTCTTCCAAACCACTTCAAAACAGAATGAGCTGCATTTACTGATTTGGGGGGGGTTTGTTTATTTGTTTTTAATAAGTTTAATGCTTTGAAGATGTAGCAAATGGCAGCATATAGAACAAATAAGTCATAAATCAGATTGTCCTGTAAAACATTTTGGGTGCCTGTACACAAGCCGGGAGGCTGCTCTGATGTGCTATAATTACAGTGTGTCGGAACAGACTCAGTTAATCAAGTCTGCTGGAGCGTGGTAATTACCGTGCTTCAGCTAGCCTCCGCGTCCCATGTATCAGCATTCTGACGCTTCAAAATGGGAGCAGAGGGCACTTTAATTAAAGCTTGTTTGACGAGCTATAGATAAAGTACCTCCGCCACCATTTTTAACTGTGGGAATGCTGATACTTGATACACTCTGTGTGCTTTAATTAGAGTGGCTCTTGGAGCTGCTCTAATTAAAGCACCCCTCCATCATCCCCCAGAGCACATGTAAAAATGCCCTTCCATTCTGCACCACAAACCTCTTGGGAATCTCTTGGAAATGTTCTACTAGTAAATGCTATGGGACCAAGCGGTGATTATAGAAGCAGCACTTTCCACTCCATATGCTGGAAGCATGGCATAAGCTGCCTTTTCAGGATCAGAGACAATGTAGCTGTGCAGAGGGGTGTCTCTAGTCTCTGATCCTCCATAAAGTTTCTTTTCTTTGCCTTCTGCTTAAATACAGAGCTTTCCCTATGGAGGGGGAGAATACTTGCAGCAGTGACTCCTTGTGGTGAGTCCCACAATGGCAGGAAGATTTTGCCCACTGCAGATTTATATGCATTTAGAAAGCACGTAGCTCCTGATTCAGGTATCCAGGCTGTAGCTGTATTGGTCTACAGGCAAAAGGAATCAGAACTCGTGACAGAGATGATATCTTTTATTATATCACATAGATATTTGCAAAAACATTTCTTTATTTGCAAGCTTTCAGGCACACTTACCCTTTCTCAGGCATAGAAAAATGCAAAGATTTTTTCTCCTAAGTAGAAGTGAAAATTCATATTTCACAGGAGAGCTGAAGGTGTTGTAAGATCTCCTAGTTGGAATAGTTCATTTTATGTATTCATAGTATACAGATCCTATGGAACAGGAATAAGAGTTGCAGATCAGATGGTGCTGCTTAGGAGTTCTACTTCTTCAACTGCCTATACCTAGCAATTTCTATTTTTTGTATATTGACTTTGCTCCCTGTGTTGTGGAACAGTATGGTCATATATCCCTGTCCTAAGATATTTATCATCTAAATTTCTTGCTGATAAGCTTTAAGAAGACATCAGTGAACTTTCCTGTGCTTCCTGGTAGGTAAAATGGCTGGCAATCACAATGATAAAAAACGTCATGTGCCTGACTTTTTCTTAAATGTTGAGTGGATTCTTTCATATTGTATCCACTTTATTCCCTCCTCCTACACTTCACTTTTAGCTAAATTAAAAAACGCATTCAGTAAAGAAGGTTATATGCTGCTAATGTTCAGTTATTGAATCAGTGGAAAATGGGTGTTGTTACTGAATCGTACGTAAAGAAGATATCACAAAAGATATTGCTGTTACATGTATTTCAACATAGAAGATGAGTTCCATTTACTGATAAGTCTGCACTAACCTGTATGCCAGAAGATATGTTCATAACAAGTGCTGATGTGAATGCAATTTTGCATAGATAGATGTTTCTATTTTGCAGAATGGGACTTTGAACAAAGTTCAGGTCATGGACACTGTATACATTGGAATCTTGGGATTTAGTGCTGTTCAGCCTGTGTTTAAAGAGTCCTTATTGGTGTCTATAAAGACTACAGGCTTTTGGCAGTCAGAGCTTCGAGAATCATGTAGGAGCCACTGGTGTTCAGAGAAACACATTGGGCCACAGATTGTGCATCAGTGACTTGGCTTCCCCGCTTAGACTGCCAGCAAAAAAATGGTGCCAATTACTGGTGGTGTGCGTTTTTGCAAGCCAGTGTTATCCAAGTGATTAAAGGAAAAGACTTGGAGTCAGGAGACCTAAAAGCCTAGTTCTAATATACATTATTGTTCATTTGCATCATTCTGGCCTCATAAAACAAGTTTAATGTAGATCTGAATTACATTTGCAAATGAGAATGAAGCCTGTGAAACTGGCATGCCTATTCCAAAGCCCATTAAAGTCACCAGGAGTTTATTTATTGATTTCAGTGAACTTTGGATCAACGTTTTTGACCTTAAACTCTATCTGTAAATGAGATACTAAATTTACTCCTTGCCCCCTGTTATAAAGCCTTTTCAAATCTTCAGGTGAAAAGCATTTTATTTAAATGCATACCTGACAGTGAGCATTCACTATCAACTATGCTTGGGACTATGATCTGATATTACATGGTCCACTGATCAGCTATCTAATGGAACCAGTATTTGGCAACTATTAACCTTGATTAAATTCAGGTCAGTGACTAAAAGGTGAAAGGTGTAGCCTGTAACCATTCACCATCCAATTTCCTTTCAGGTTTTGAAAGCCTACAATAAAAATAGTAATGCTTTCTATAATAATATAGAAACCTCTTTCTTTGTGGAAAATGGTCTGTTTTCCATGCAGCTTGTTTAGGAGCAGTTGTTCTTGGTAAATAACACTTTGTTCTCTATCATCAAGTAAAAGTAATTTGAAGGATAATCTTAAAGTAGTTAACTATCCCTACAATCTCATTTTGTGGGTGGAAATGAAGCAGACTAATATAGTGTTTATTTCTAAGCAGTTTTACTTCTTAAAAATTGTTCCACTTAAAAGTGACTATATTTGCTTTCTCATGTCTATTATTTCAATTATTGTGTGGCCCTTGAACTCTTTCTTCACTTTTTATTTTGCAGGAAGAAGAAATGTTTCGTCCAAATATGTTTTTTCTTCTTTTGCTTCCACCTATTATATTTGAATCAGGATACTCATTGCACAAGGTGAGACCTTGTACAACTTTTATTTACATTCTGAAGTTTTACCTGGAACAGACTTTCTGAGCTACACTTACGCAAATCTGGAATAATTTCACTTAATTACAGCATATTTGTGCTTCTGTAATTGAGAGTAAAATATAGCCTGTTTGACCCAGAAAGCAGGGAATGTAGGTTCTAATATTATTTAACTAAGCATTAGTTGCTAAATATTGTAGAAACATAAGAAGTAATGTTCCATGCTCCAAGAAGTTTATAATCTGATACAGACAAGACAAGGAAGAAGGGTCTGAACAGAAAACCAGAACAGTCCTTTCTTCTCTTCTGTTTAAAGTTGACCACATCCCACTTCCATTTCAAGCATTTCCTTTTGACCTGGCTTAATGCAAGAAAACCAAGATTTAGTTTGCCGACTATAAGTTACATTCTTTCCCTAAAGTGCACGATCAAAGATGTTGGCCCTAGTTAGGATATGGGCATTATATTAAAAAATCCTCTTTGTGTTGTGAAAAAACAGGTGGATTTTATGATTGCACCATGACGAGAAGGAGAAGTATGTTTAATTGATCTGCTCTGTTGTTGTATCTTAAATTTTAGTGAAGTTTTAATTCCAAAATTAATGGCAGCTAGGACTTCTAGTATCATTGTGGAGAGAATTGTAATAATCACACTGAGCTAAATGAGAATTTGATCCTACATAACAGACCAGGAAAGAGATTAGTTTAATCTGTTTTTAATTAATAACAGGAAAGTAAGATATTTGCAATGAAATGAAATCACAGGCTGAAATTCTTGGTTAGCACAAATATAAAACTTTGTTAATTTAAAAAGTACTGCTTAAAATTATTCTAGACTTATAATTCAAGACTATGTATTTAACCTAAGGGTGTAGAATAAAATAACTGAAGCGCAGAGATTCTTGAGTTAAGGCTGAAGCTCCGTTCTTAGGGCTGGTGGATGAAAACCTAGGCTTGCCAGCTTTGCGTGGTTTTAAAGTTCATGCACTCTGTTAGTGCACAAAGAGCAAGTCATGAAATGTCTTTACTAATCTGTCTGAGTAAAGATACATTACTGTGGATCTATTGAACTCAAGCCAATCAAGTGTTAAGCATGGATAACTAAACAATTGAAGCTTGCTTTTACTCTTCTATTTCTGTTGCTTTACTGCTGTTTTAGCTGTCTCACTGAAGGACCAAAGAGCCTCAGTTGTGGCCCAGAACGCTTGGTACTGTACAGACACAGAGCAAAAATACTATCCCTCTGCAATGTCTTTTCACTCATTCACTTTATCTTGCTTTTGTGTTGTAGGGTAACTTCTTTCAGAATATTGGTTCCATCACCCTATTTTCCGTATTTGGCACAGCTATTTCAGCCTTCATTGTAGGAGGAGGAATTTACTTCCTGGGTCAGGTAAGAGAAACACACTTGAAATTACTGCTTTTTTTTACAGGAAAGAATAGTAACGGTCACACAAATAGGAGCCTATTTGTGCCCCCACACAATAAGTTACAAGGTATTTCTCTCCTAACTTACCTCACTTGCGAGTTAGCTCATGAAATTAGGCTTTTTGAAGGATGAAATAGATTCATAGATGGTAGGATTGGAAGGGACCTCAGCAGATCATCGAGTCCAGCCCCGTGCCCTGGGCAGGAAAGAGTGGTGGGGTCAGATGACCCCAGGCAGATGCCTATCCAGCCTTCTCTTAAAGACCCCCAAGGTAGGGGAGAGCACCACCTCCCTTGGAGCCCATTCCAAATTCTGGCCACCCTTACCATGAAGAAGTTTTTCCTGATATCTAGCCCAAAGCTGCTGTCTGTCAGTCTGTGACCATTGTTCCTTGTTACCCCAAGAGGCGCCCTGGTGAACAGAGCATCTCCGATCCCTTGCTGCATCCCCCAATTAATTTGTAGGAGGCCACAAGATCACCTCTCAGCCTTCTCTTGCGGAGACTGAAGAGGCCCAGGTCCCTCAGTCTCTCCTCATAGGGCTTATCATGTAAGCCCCTAACTATAGGAGTGGCCCTCCTCTGGGCCCTCTCAAGTCTATCAAGATCCTTCTTGAAGTACAGTGCCCAAAACTGGACACAGTACTCCAACTGCGGTCTGACCAATGCTGCATAGAGGGGAAGTATCACCTCCTTGGATCTATTTGTCATGCATCTGCTGATGCATGATAAAGTGCTGTTAGCTTTGCTGAGGATTTTGTTACAGTGACAACTCATGTTCATCTTGGAGTCCACTATGACTCCGAGATCCCTTTCCACTTCTGTGTTGCTAAGATAGATGGATCCAGGTGGAAGAACTTATTACACGAAGGGGTTACAGTTAATTGCTGGTACATAAATGCAACAGGAGCTAAAGTAAAGAACTGAGCAAAGGAATGGAAGCCTGGGACCTCTTTAATTTCTAGTTTTAGGATTGGTGATGACTCACTGCATAGCTTGGATAAATTAATTTAATCTTTTATTTCTCTCTCAGTTCCTTATTTATATATCTGGGCTATCAATAGTTCTCTGTCTCACAGCCACTTTATAAACTCTCCCTAGATTTCATAGAAATTTTGATTCTAAAGTATGTAAATATTTTATTAAGATTTTCATCATAACTTTAGTTTATTCAAATGGATTAAAATGCAGTTTGAAACCATCTGGTGTTTGAATACTACATAAATGTATGCTTAGTGAAAAATAATGGAAACATGGCTGATTTTTTTTTCTTTTAGGCAGAAGTAATTTATAAACTCAACATGACAGACAGGTAAGTTCTTGGTAAAATTGCCTAGTACATCATACAAGGCATTCTTCAAAGTAAATACAGCTTGTATAGTAATTCATTGGGGTTAACATTTTAATCTTTCTGATGCCTTTTCCCAAGTGAAGTATGTAAAGGCTCCCTAACTCAAAACATTCATCATCAAAGGGACTATTAAGACAAGGGAAACACAACAATGAACAGTGTGTGCAAAAATGTTTTCACAGTCTTTTCCCAAATTCCTCCCCCCACAACTTCGATGCATAAATCCTCTACATGATGGTGTGCATTTGGTTAACTGACATAATTAAAATATCAGTAGTGTAATGGGGGGGGCACAAATGTGTCAGCAGCTCTGAACACTCTCTTAAGGGGAGAGGAGGACTGCAGAAGTAACAGCTGCCACTGCCCAGAGCACAGAGCTGCCTCAGTACACCTCTAACATACAATATGAAAAGGTGGTTTTCTCATCCAGCCCTTTTCCTTAAAGAAGGAATGAATTTATAAGGATCGATATCCCCAAATTTTTTAAGTATTTGGCAAAGGTTTGATATTTTTTTAGAAATCTACCAACTTACACCAGAAGTCAGATGCAGCTCTTGTTTACATTGGTGTAAGTACAGACGGAGCGGAATATTTGGCTTTAATATTTTTGTGTGCTTTTTTAATTTACTGAAGTCCACAAATCATTTTACTAGTTGGAACCAGGAAATGTGACAAGAAAAAACATTCATAAATTACAGAAGTCTTCCATACCCGACTCTAGCATCTGGCTGTACACAGCTGAATGCACTCATTACTTTGAGGGGGCTCTCTCTCCTGTCTTAGGATCTAATGAAGTATTATCGTCTCTCACGAAATTAGGCTGTTTTGTCCTCCCTGATGGGGAACACTGTAAGTGAAGCAGATAGCAAGGTGAAACCAACATCATGAAACAACAACGCAGTCTTTTATTTTAGTCATGCAGTCTCTGAATAAATATTTAGCAGAAAATTCCTATGTCAGGGTTTGTTATACATTCTGTCAAAATGATGAATTCCCCAATGCTTGTCTACAACTAAAACCCAGTATACTGGCATGAGGAGAGACCTACAGTAAAAACTAAAGTGTGACAGTTCTACTTTATACATGACATCTGAAATGTTAAATATTATAACAGTGAAAGCAAACTGGGTATCACCTCTGATGATAAAGCCTCTTTCAGTTTCAGCAACTTTAATAGCATGACAGTGGATATGAGCTGTGCCAAAGTTAATTTATCAAGTAACTGCGTAGGACAGGTTTTGCATTGTTAATGAGATTTTCTGCAGTTTGTTCATTCTGTTTTGTTGCACAGCTCTGATTTGGACTGACACATATCAAATAACTGTTTCTGTTGCATATCAAAGAACTGTTGTGCAGTGCTCTTCCTTTTTGTTTTTGTGGGACATCTTTATTCCGTATGAGAGCTTGGGGCGAGGTATATTGTTCCTACCACTTTGTAATTCAGTCAGTAATGTAAAAATGTCTCTTAATTTATGTTTGTCTGTCGCATTCATTACAAAGTTATCCTCACAGCCTTTAAACTATTCATAGCATTTAGCACAAGTTATTAGGGCTAATGGAAAACTCAGAGTATGAAGGATCCCTATTTCATGAAGCTCTGTTTACAGATCTTCTGTATTTAACAGTTGATCCTTTCTCCCAGTAAGCAAACAACATTTTTCTGATTTATGCATTGTTGATCAGCTGTTTGTTAATGGGTTTCTGCAAAATAATCTGTAGTAATCCAAAGGTATGTGCAGTGTTTCTTAGGGCTGTGCGAGGCTTCGGACCGTGCTTCAGATCCAGAGAAGCTTCAGACGCTTCAGCATCCAAAGCAGCGTGTCCAGATCGAAGCACTGTCTTCGTTAGGCTTTCCAAAGCGGTTTGGAGCTTCCGAAGCGCTTTGGAAAAGCTTTGGAGATCCAGCCATAGGGTATAATGGGGAATCAATGAAATATCTGTAACTTTGTTTTTTGTCTGATTTGGATTAAAATTGCTGAGAGCATGAAGACTGCCACATTTCAGGAAGATTGGTGCAGAGGTTCGGGGGTGAAAACTGCAGGGGTCGTAGCCCCTGGTGAGGTCACAAAGGCTGCCAAGTTTCAAGAAGATCAGTGTAGGGGTTTGGAGGGAACTGTGCCTCAAGCAGCTGACAGGCAAAACTCGTGTCATGGGTGCTTATGCAACTGTGGCTGTCTTGTGTGTGGGGGGGAGACACTACTGCAGACCTGGCTGCTAAGCTGCTGTGTAACCAGTTACCAATCAATCATGATTCACTCAGGGACCATCTCAATACACAGTTGGTAGCTAATGTAACCAGTTAATTAGCATCAATTAACACCACAAAACCAGAGACTAAAGAGAGGAAATAATCAATACAGACAATCAACTGCCCCAAAACAGAGACAGACACAGTTGCATAAGCACCCATGTCACGAGTTTTGCCTGTCAGCAGCTAGGGGTGCAGGGTACCAAAACCCCCCTGCACTGGTCTCTTCGACAGCTGGCAGGCTTTGTGGCCTCAGCAGGGGCCACGATCCCTGCAGCTGTCACCCTGCTGCGCCTTAACACACACAGTGTCACCCCTGTCACAAATTTTGCTTGTCTGCAGCTTGAGGTACAGTTCCCCCCAAACCCCTGCACTTACCTCCTTGAAACTTGGTGGGCTTTGTGGCCTGAGCAGGGGCCACCACTCCTCCAGTTTTCAGCCCACTGCGCCTTAACACACACAGGGTCATCTATGTCACAAGTTTTGCCTGTCAGCAGCTTGAGGTGCAGTTGCCCCCAAACACTTGCACCTTTCAACTTGAAACCTGGCAGGCTTTGTGGCCTCACCAGGGGCTACCACCCCTGCAGTTTTTACCCCACTGTGGTGTAACACATACATATGACATGAGTTTTGCTTTCAAGAATGTGGGTTGCAGTTCCCCCTGAACCCCTGCACCGATCTTCTTGAAACGTGGCAGGCTTCATGCTCTCAGCAGAGGCTACCACCCCGGCAAGTTTCATCCAAATCAGACAAAAACAAAGTTATAGAGATTTCATTGATTCCCCATTATACCCTATGGCCAGATCTCTGAGGCAGCTCTGAAGCTGTGGAGCCACTTTGGCTGGTTCAAAGCGGAAACCCGGTCAAGAGCTCGGGATCAGATCACTGCCATCTGAAGCAGCCGGATCCGAAGCCAGACCGAATCACTACCTATTAGCACAGGACTAGTGTTTTGCTATTGCTTATTATTGTCTAATATGTTATACAATTTATACTAGCTTATTTTATTTTTTTCTTTTTGTTTTCTTTTTGTTTTCACAGTTTTGCATTTGGGTCCTTAATATCTGCAGTTGACCCAGTGGCTACTATTGCCATCTTCAATGCTCTTAATGTAGATCCTGTGCTTAACATGTTGGTGTTTGGAGAAAGTATTCTCAATGATGCAGTCTCCATTGTCCTGACAAAGTAAGTACAGTCAAACTATGTGTTTGTGAAGCAAAGGAAACAGCAGTTATATAGTAATTGTTCATAGTCATTGAATTTGAATGTGGATGTAGGGCGCCGTCTTAGTTTACCATAAAGGTGCATTCTTTTACCTTGTAGCTCTAATGGATTTTGTTACTGATTTCTTCATAAAGTGCAACCCCTTTGATTTTTTCATAAAAACTATATAGATAGAAGGTAAAAAATACATAATGATTTTGATTTAATATTGTGGAGTTGCTTGTGTGTATGGCCAGCAGTTATAATCAGGTGACTAGTCAGTGTCATCTCGATCCTATTCAAAGTGCCTAGACCAATGGTTCTCAGCTTTTTTTGGAATCAAGGCATCCCTCATTGAGCTTGAGGCACCCCTCCATAACTTGTCCTTATCTGCTTAGTTTTTTCTGCTTGTCTCCTAATATCTTACATTTCCTCAGACCTCATGGTACCCTTCAGAAGATTTAATGGCACACCCAGCACTAGCCGAGATCAGGGGCCTAGCCGCTCAACACATTTATGCTAGTTAATTTACAGCAGTTTTATACACCAGTGTATACAACAGTATCCAGAAGGGAGAGATGAGCAGCTATTCTGGAGTAGATGCATGCTGTAGTCTATGTGGCAGGGGAGCAGGTAACAGGCTATTTGTCTTGAACAAACATTACCTTCAAATAAGCTGTAGATATAACACTTGAACTAGTATAGTCTTATTCCCAATAGTTCTGCATTTGATTCAGATAAGTCACAGCAATGTAGGGCTGTATGTTGTGTCCATTTGTTATTTTACATGTGTGTAAAAGCTGAATATAAAAGCTGAGATGAACTTATTCTATATCCAAGTCATTATTATTATTGTGATCACATTTAGCCTAAGAGTATCTCATCCATAAAGTGCAGATCTACTATGAAAATTACCTTAAAATGTGTTTGTGGGATTCTATCTGTGTTGTATCTCATTGACCCAAGATTTGATTCATTCAGTTTACAAGTTTAAATGTGTCACTTTTTTCTCCTGCTTGTCCTGGATGTGAGATCCAAAGTGTTCTTTATTGCTCTTGTAGATTTTTGTTACCAGACACTGCTCTCATCTCTCCCTTTTTGACTTTCTGGTCATTAGCTTATGCCATCAGCCATGCATGCAAGCCGTTGGGGTTGCACTGATGATGAACCTATAGTTACTATTTAGGAAAGGATACTGTTGATACTATCTGCCAAGACAAGATTCTTATTACTTTCTCTTAGCTGTGTTGGTCGTGCAGGATTAACAGGAATAAAACCAGTAGTAGTAAGTCAGTGAATGTAACTGTGAATAGAAGAAGTAGCTCTGTTGAGTAAGAAAGTAGTATATTTACATACTACTTTTCAGGGACCAGCTGCACTCTTAGTACCTACTATATGTCCTTTTCCCTAGGGCCATGCTTCTAAGAACAGCCATAAATAATATTCTACCAGAAATCTGAATGCTGTAGCATAGTTATATTCCCTGGGATTCCAAGAGATCTCTTCTTTCCTTGAAGTTCTCTTTTTGCCCTTTTCTAGAGACTCTCCAGTTTCTGTCATGTACATTTAAATATCTGAGGGGTGCTTTTCCTGCTTGTTTGTTTGGTTTGCTCTCCTGAATAGGGACCATGGGATCTGTCTCATTTTCTTTTCTTGACCTACGTTTTTAAAATAAAAAATGCATTATTTCTTCCCTCTTAAAAGTATGAGATGTTTTACTGCAGAAGGCATCATCATAATGGCCTATTTATGCCATTGAGGAATGCCTCACAAAAACAATGCTAGATTTTAAGATCTTTTAGCAGAATTAGCTTTCCCTTTGGGGATTGCACCAACACTTGATTTAATGTCTTCTGACATTCCACTTGCTGTATATATCACTGTAAATGCCTTTTAAGAGCAGTAGCAACAAAATGTAGGTTGGTTCATTGGGTTTGTTGTTTTTTTTCTCCTAAACACATTTGGCTTTTCCTGGTCCAGGCTTGGAATTGATAACTGTTTTCTTTTGAATTTTTAAAATTGTTCCCAGCACAGCAGAAGGTTTGACAAGAGACAATATGTCAGATGTTAGTGGATGGCAAACTTTTCTACAAGCACTGGGTTACTTTCTTAAGATGTTCTTTGGCTCTGCAGCCCTTGGCACCCTTACCGGGCTTATTTCAGCATTAATATCCTTTTTTGGGGGTCATGTAATATAAACACAGAAATTGGTGAACACAAACATTCTAACACAAATATCATCCCGTTGTAATCTAATATATATGCATTTTTTTTAGAGGGGGCTGACTTTACTTAGGGTCTTTTTGTTGTCCAGAGATATTCTCTCACTATTTAATGTTAGTGTTCCTGGGCACATTTTAAAAACGTACATAAAAGCTTTGTTGAATGTAATTAAGGGGTAAGTTACTTTAATAGCTTCTATTAGATGAAATAGACTGTTATAAAATATGCTAATTGTTTTCTAAATTCATAATATATTAATTCAGTTTTCAGCACTGATCCATTTTCATCAGCATGTGTCCCAGTTTTCACATGCATAAAATGTTCCGTTAATTAAAAAAAATAAGAAAAATGTAGTTCTCCCTTCAGGGACTTGAAAGTCAAACCAAGTCATCCATCCCTATGCATTGTATTCAGTTAGTTGAATATAGTTACTGCACAGCTTGGGTTTGTATGTTGAATTGTATCTGTGGTTTTCCACATCAGCTTGAATCAGTTGCTAAACAACCCAAGAGCTTTTCTACAAAGATAAGGAAGATTGTTTGTTTAAACCAGACACCTTTTTTGCTTTTGCAAGCTTGTTTTACTGTTTAAAATAGAAACCACTGTGGATCATTTTTTGTACTAATTTTATCCTACAGTTATTCACATAAACTGAGCCATGTTGTCAAACGCTTTGTTTTGTAAATGAGTGGAACTGAATGCTTCTTAAATGCAGGCACATTTGATCTCTTTAATCATTAGGATTACTCCATGAACTTTTAATTTATTCAACAACATCTCTGCAGAAGGTGGGGAAGACAGACCTTTATAAAAATGTTCTGTGTTGAATTCAGTAACCTCAAAATGAAATGAGACCAAACAGAAAAACAGTTGATTTTTTCTGTTATATTATTATTGCTTGAGTTTCAAAATATTAGTTTTATTGCTAGAATGAAATATTTCATTGAAGCAAAGGAAATCTATAATAGTTGCCAGCAGATAGATATGATTGAAAGTTGCTGGTTCATTACCCAGGAGGAATGCGAACTTCTGTGTCTCAGACGTCTAATCTTCTGCATTTTAACAAAGACGGTATGTGGAATGTTTTAAGAATGAGACAAGGGCATGATTCTTCAAATGCATGAGCATGTTTGCTTGCTGTAGATGTTATCACTGATCAGTCTTTACCTATTTGAAACCAACAAGACATCTTGCAGAATACACAGTGGATACTGTGGAGGGGCACTTGCCGTGCCAAATGCATAGGTCAAAATCTCGCTCCCCTCTTTGGCAGCCATGGTGCAAATCAGCTGCATGAGATGGAGAAGGACAGACTTGACACTGTACAAAGTCCCTGCTCATGAGAGCAGTGGAGGTCTGTTACAGGGGAATTACATAAGGAGATTACACTGCTTTACAGGAGTTTGCACTGTTTGTAAAATGGGCTGTGCATTTGTTTCATGGTCTGTTCTAGCCTTTAAACTTCAAGAACAGCTATAGAATGAGTCTGGTTTTGCTTTATCACCCTGAAGAAATTAATACCCTTTTCTCCGTATGACACTTCAACCCCCAGCATGGTCCCACAGCTGGAACACATGTAAAGGACCAGGGTTTGGTTCCAGATGAATTGAACTCTTGACACTGCCTCAGTACACAGTCATTTTGCTTAGAACTTAATTTATTCCAGGATTCTTTCAGACTCCATCAGAGTCAATGGGTATTGTGCCATTGACTGAAATAGAGCCAAGATTTCACCTCTAGTAAAAGAAGGAACTACCTAGGGTATACATGTGCAGTGTAAGGTTAGCTCAAATTTTCCTAGACATCAAAATACATTTCAAAAAGGATTTTATCTCCTTAAGGGAAAAAGAGGAAAAGAAATGAGACCCATTTCACTTCTGTGGAACAATTTGATATCTACGCTATATTACAATTTGAAGGCTGTCTGTGGTTTTCCTATAATTTTCATGCTCTTTGTTCAGCTCTTGGTAACCAGAAATTCACATCACCATTGGAGATGTCTGCAAGTCTAAGCAGAGATGTCAGGGATTGAAAGTTCCTGAAGAGGTGACCCTTCCAGATGCTGGTTTAAGTATATTGACCTGCCGCTATCCAAATTACATACACTGCGTCCAGAAGCAGTGGCCATCAGTTGCTGGAATTATCAGTCTCATAGGCTTTCACTGTGAACTTCACTTAAAAACAAAAACCCTTCTGCATAAGAAATTATTTCTATGCACACTTGATCCACGAAACACTTTGAAGAATTAATATTTCCTGTTCACTAGACAAATATATGAAATGTGGTGATTTGTTTTGTAATGGTTTGTAAAGATGGGAATGTTGCTTTGCCCTGCTTCTCTTATTTTTTCCATAACAGTTTGATATGTACGTGCTAAAACAGATTGATTTAAGGAAAACGCCCTCCTTGGAATTTGGGATGATGATTATTTTTGCTTATCTCCCATATGGATTGGCAGAAGGCATTTCGCTCTCAGGTATGGAGCAAAATGAATACATGTGACACTTTGTATTTGAATATAAGGGGTTACAGGAATTAGAATTTCTAGTGGTTTTTTCTTTTCCTGCAGCCTGGCAAGGTACATGAGGCACTTATGAGAACTAATAATAATTATAAGCTTTTCCATCTACAGTACTTTACAAAGTATTCATTAAGTTTCCCATCCGTGTGAACAGGATGATAATCTGATTTCAGATGCGGGAAACTGAGTCACAGTGAATCATCCAAGATCACACAGCAAATCAGTAGCATAGTTGACTGTGAAAGGATGCAGGAGCAGTAGCCAATCTTTAGTAAGCAAGAAGGTAACTATAACTCCTTTCCCTTGTACAAGCAGTCTAAACAGGGGCTAATAGAAAGCCTGATAAGAAGCCAGGGAGAGGATGTCTCAGAAATGACACCTGTGAGTGTAGAGATACCCAATCTAGTTTTATACAAGCTAGCTTGGGTATTGGTAGTAATTTAGCCAGATGGAGCTCAGTATCATCTAATTTACTCTGCTGAGAAGGATGTAATCAGCATGTGGAAATAAATTGGATCATGCTGATCTCCATGCTGCCACAGCTGGACTGCTACTGCTAACAACACTATCTAGGTTAAAGCTAATTAGGGTACCTACACTACACTGTAACTGTTTCTGTAACTGCAGTGTAAACATATCCAGAGTGAGATGAGAATATCTGTGAGGGTGAAAAAATAAGCATGGTTTTGCAGTTATTTGAATAGAGCTGCAGCAGTATTGTGGCTTGGCATAAATATTCAGTGTTATAATCAGTTTGGATAAGAGGCTTTTATGGTAACCAAATGTTGAACATCTGTGCAATTGCCCCTTGCCCTGTCTTTCTCAGACTAGCTCTGAATCTGCCTTCTAGCTCAAGGATTGGCAACGTACAGCCCATGGCCTGCAGAGCCAGTTTAGTTGGCCCTTAAAACTGCGGGAGAGGAGGGGGCTTAGGGAATTTTGGCAGTAGGCGATTTTTCCCAGACAGTGGGGAGAAGCAGTGGCAGTTGTGGCTGTGGCTCCAGCTGCAGCAGAAGTGGTCTGTTCTTGAAGATAAGCTTGGTTAAAGTCCCCCTCTTCCCTCCACCTTCCCGTGCCACACACATGCACACATATACTGCAGTATGTTGCCAACCCCTGGCTTGTCAAGGATGTGCACCCAAGTGTACCTCTCTGCCAGTGCACATCTCAGCACTTTAATAAAGTTCCCATTTTCTTTCTTCAGCACTGTGATAGGCACCTTGATAAACTTGTCAGATTTGCATTCAGGGAGGTTTACCACAAAGCCAGGTGCAGTTTTTTTGGTAACAAGCTCCTGTTCAATAAAAACAGCACCATTGTCTGTATGTACTTTCAAATTAGGTGGCTATTGCAGGTCTTTTCTCCAGAAATAATGATTAAGATAATGAAAGTCTCACAGCAATGGATTTAACTCACTGAAATATGGGGAGATAGAGTACTGTTCACAAATAGGGTTATGGGTCATACTCAGTGCAAGGCACTATATTAATTAGTAACAGTTATATTGGATAAACAGGGAATACTAGATATTAGAACATTTAAAAAATAATTGCAATAGATTATAGCAACAGTGAGATTTACTGAATCATTGTCCTTCAGGATGGTTACTTACATATTTTCTGATCATACAGGTGTGTGATCTGTCTGCATAATTTTTTCTTCAAACGTTCATGAATTGTTAGTAAAGCCTGTAATGCCTTCTACTAACTTACTGATATCATAGGGGTTACAGATTCTTATAATACATTTAATATCCTTTATATGCCTGGTGTTTTAAGGGCATTAAAGGTCCCTTCTTCCAGAGAATGTATGGTTAAATAGTTCAAAGTGAATGTGGGTTATTCAGTAGGGATGCAGTGCCATTCATAGAGATCATATTGTGCTACTTGTGATACACGAAGTGAGATGAAAGGAACAGGTGCTGCTGGCTGATAGGCAGCAAGAACATTTTATCTAGCGTACAACTTGGGGCGGTGAGCAGGTGGCTGGGGAGGGAACTGTTTTCTTAGAAGACCTCTCAAATGTGTTTTCATACAAGTGTCCCCTGTGATTAGTTCCTCCTCTCAGTTTCCTCTGGCCTTGTCATCACCAGGAAAGGTTTTCTGCCATGTATTGATTAACATATGGTAACTAACATGTGGCAGATTCCTTCAGGGGAAAATTTTCACAAGCACTTAGAAAGTGGAGTTAAGTATGATGGTTCCCCAGCCCATGTGATGATTACAACCACCTTCTCCACTCCTGGATTTTACCATGTCACTTACTTGTTAGCTAACATAGGGGTAAACGATGTCTTTTATCCTACTGTGGACAAACTTTTTCAGTGCATAGTCTAATGAGTGAATAAACATTGCTCCTTCTTGGTACTGAGTTAAAATGTGCATTTAACTTGGATATGTCACGACATAGCTTTAGCTGTGTAAGTATGCATAACTCTACCAATGTCAATGGAGTTCCACTGATTTATGTCAAGTAACAGTGTGGCCTTCCTGGCCTATAATTACTATAATTCTGCAAGGAAAATGTGTAGTGCTAATGCAGATGCCCTAGTCTCTCTATCTGCATGCACAACTACTCTATTTGGACATGCTTTCATGTCATAAGCATGCAAATGGAAACATAAACTGTTTGAACCCAACAAAGTGTTTGATGTTATTTAATGCTGTCAGTAGGTTTTTGCCATGCATCTGGACTGTGCTTATGTACTTGACTTGATAGCTAAACATTTTAAAACATGGAACTGTTTTTATTCCTGGTTCATTTTGGCCATTAATATAAAAAACATAGTAAAATATCATAAAACTAGAGTTGCATTAGTACAAGTATATGAAAAATGAGGGTTAAAAAATGTATTTCTTATTAATTGTCAATAATAAAGACTGTTTTTAGCACAAATGTAATAATAATGGTGTAATAATAAAGCCCATAATTTGCTTGAACTTCAAAAAGTGAGTCATCAAGAGAATAAAAACTTTAAATAACCTTAGTCAGGTCATACCTTTGTTCCAAACAAAGGGTTCTTTTGATTAAACCTGGGATATTTGTTCTCATCTCTGCCTTCCAGTTCATCTGGGCCACTCTTGTTTGCCCATGGAGCACCAGCCAGATATTGTTGGTCTTTCAAACTGCCTTTGTTTTTGGCTAAATAGGGCTCTACTCCCAAATGTCATCTTGTCCTTTTTACGATCTGCATTCCAGTTAACTTCCTCCAAGAACTGTTTATAAACTGGGTGAGAGAAATCGATCCCAACCTTGAGGCAAGCATGCAGAAATACTGTGAGCTACCTCGTTCTTTCAAGCACACGCTGCAGCCCACGGGTTGGAACGGCAGCTGCACAGGTGTTAGGGCAGCTGGATCTTCATAGCCTCAGTGGCTCCCACAGTTATTTGCTAATGCTAGTCCATCTGCTTGCCTAGTGTGGCCAACTTGGGGACCTCTGCAGTGTACAGGGAGTACAGAGGTTACTTTGCACAGCAGCTTTATCTTCCTGTCATTATAGGCCCTGTGCATTGTACTGTTTGTCCACAGCTAGGGTAAATGTTGCCCTGGGACCAGAGAGCCAGGAGAAGTTTCTGAATGCTCAGATGGATAGTAAATTGCAGGATGTGCCTGCTTTTGCTGTCATCTTACCTCTGTGTTTGTAACTGCATTGAGCTTAATGCATATGGGAGTGTGAATGCTAAACTCTGACCTCCATATCCCATTCCTGTCTCTTCTACAAATATTGCCTGGCAGAGCAGTGTATAGTGCAGGGTGACACTGTGTTGGAATCGTGCAGTTTTACAGCCCTATTGTTTGTTTGCTTCCCGTTTTGGTCTCTCCTATCTTTCCAGTTCATCTTGCAAGTTAAATTTAAGTCAGGAAAAAGTCCTTGGGTTCAACATGTTGCACACTCCTCTGTCATCCTGTATAAGCAAACAAAGATGTGTTGTTTTTAAAGATATGTAGAAGGCCAGATTTTACCCTTGAAAACCTCTGCATATGGATGTTAAAATACTAGCAGAAACTTACAGCTGATTTACTCTAGAGCTTCCAATGTTTCTGTAATGACTGGAAAGGAACTGGTGCTAGCCACAGTGTAAAAAATTTCCCTGGAGTAGATACCCCCTTCAGCTCTTGCTTCTTATTTCCAGCTGTGGAATGGAGCTAATCCTGCCTGATGGCATTGTGTGAGAAATAATTGAGCAGTGTTTGTTAAGTCACTATGGAAGTGCTAAAATACAGTTCTCCTGTTTGACTGTTGCTTTGCATCTGCAGGTATCATGGCAATCCTGTTTTCTGGTATTGTGATGTCTCACTACACACACCATAACCTTTCTCCAGTTACACAGATTCTAATGCAGCAGACACTGAGAACTGTTGCTTTTATGTGTGGTAGGTAATACTCATGAATTAAAATTCAGTTTGCATGAATTGGTATTTTTGGTGGGGTAGG